CACCACCAGAAAAATGTTTGAACATCTGTTTAATCATCCTTAATTATATATTTGACTGCATATTAGGTTAAGATTAAATACTGGTCCAAAAGAAGCTGTACATGCTAACTCTTCTAATCAACAAAACAACAAGCCATAAACCAAATTCAAGATGAATTTGACTAAATAGCTCTGATATCCCACTAAAATCACCCTAAGTCTTTTTGACCATTTTAAACTGTAGATCCTGAATCCTTGAGGTGTGTTCTCAAAACGTAGTGATAAGAACTCAAATTGTTGTTGTTGGGTCAATGAATTGAGGACTAACATCTTTGTACCTTTTTCTAGCAAAAGGACTGAAAAAAAATATGAAAGCAAACAACAAGAGATCAACTAATAGGAGAGCAAGAATCCACTCAGAACTTGGCATCACAATGAGGTTACCTAAGGGCTGTGTTTATTGGTACAAGGTTATGTACTTATTGGCAAGGTATGCAATACCGTACCATACCAGTGTTTTGAGGTTGACTCGGTATGGTACGGTACCATGTACCGAGCGGTACGCCAGGGCGTACCAAGCGGTACACCTAATTTAGGTGTATAACTCTCCGAAAATACCTGAAACTAAAAAAAAAAGTTAGGATAGGGTTTTTAAGTTAGAAATAAATATAGTAATAGCATAAGTTTAGCAAAATCAATATAAATTAGATAAGAATTGTATCACATAACTTTTTCAGGCTTTGAAGAATATCTTGTACAATGTTCGTATTTCAGTCCATTATGAATTGTCCATATATAAACATACCTCTTAATTAGAAAGTTCTTCCTCTTAATCTTCCCAAATTAGCCTCGATTTAATTCACAAATCGTTGTTTTGTAAAGTTTAGGAGAGCACAAATATAAGAAAAAAAGAATTTGAGATAGTTTAATAGAGTATGAGAATGTAATAGAGTGAAATAGGGGAGAAGAAGGGTTTAAATACCATGAGAAAGGGTTCCGACGGTCAATTTAACCGTTGGAGCACTATATCATTGTTACCGAGCGGTTTTAAATATTTCTTCCTCTTACTGTAGCACTATAGCAATGCTACAATGTAGCACTGTAGCACGTTTCATCTAGTAGCGGGAGGTCCGCGTACCGATATATCATCGGACCGGTACGTACTGCTCGTATCAGGAGGTACCATTCGAAATTGCATACCATTCTTATTGGTACAAAGTTATGTACACTACACGTTCACAAACCTTGAATTGATGGAATATTGTACATTGGGCTGCCCCTTTTAAGATAAAGATCTACTTTGTTAGAAGAACACAAAATTGAGGTTAAAATTTCATAAATGTCAGACTGTTCCCAAGTTAACTCTTTGCTTCATTGAGCTTCTATTCTTGTATCTCTCATGTTGCTCTGTTCCTTCTTTCTTACAATTCAACAAAATATAAAAAACATCTATGAAAAAGAATGGAAGAGATTTAGTTGTCTTTTCTGTCCACATATCCTCTGATTTCGGATATATAACCAAGTTTTTTCTGAATCTATCATCCAAATTATGGTCTAACTACAAATAACCCTCAAATTTGTTTGCCAACTTATCTGCAGTTAGTTGGCCACATAATTAGGTTCTTCCAAATGTATCCACAGTTCTGAATCACAGCTACTTAGTTTCAGCAACTAAAACCCATGAATTACATCTTGACTAAGTTCCCATCAAGTTCTGCTACAGTCACACACAAAACTGTTACTACTTAATACACAAGGTTGCTTGCAGTAGACACTTAGACCTCCTTGCATAAGCTCTTTACAAATAGTCCAATAGTGTGATTCATGCACAAGCCTCCATTTTTTGTGCCGTCACCTTTGAGGATTGCCCAGTTACCCAATATTCAAATGATAACAAGGGGTTTTATGATGTCTAAACAGTAAGTACGCATTAGCACATGGATGTATAAAATAAAGAAAAAAGCAAGGACCGTCAAATCACCCGAAACAGTACAAAATGGGCAGTACATACCGGCCGTTTCCATTTTCAGGTGGTTCAGTCTAAATCTTTATAAAAACAAATAAACCTAAAATATAGGTGCGACACGTCCATGATTCGGGCTTGCACCCGTTTCTCATGACGTTGCTATCTTCGTTGCCGTCATTGTCAATGATGCCACCATTGGATGTCGCTCGCCCGTACTATCACGACCTTAACTGGAATTGCCTACGGCGTGAGGCACCCTTGCGGCCAAGGACGCGAACTTAGCTTGCGTTGCCTAAGTCGCGAGTTACCCTTGTGGCAAGGACGCGAACTTAGCTTGCGTTGCCTAAGTCGCGCTTCGCCCTTACGATATTGCTCCGCAAGGATCAGCCCACTTTGTAACCTCTCGCAGGTCCCGAAGGACCTGTAAAAGAGAAAGACGGTTAGTTCGAAAGAACGAGCAACGGACAAGTCCCGAAGTCTCGCGAAAAGGGGAAGCTTTACAAGCAATTCGACGAACACCTTGTGTGCACAAGAGAAAAGAGGGAGAGGGAGAAAAACAAGGCTTTCAAGGATGAACGAACAGCTGCAAGCCCACAAACAGCCGCTCACCTGGTCCCGGGCGCGAAGACAAGTTCCCGTAAAGGTCACGTGCGAACTTGCGAAAGAGATCTCAACGCCCGGTATATAACCGAAGCCCCATCCAACCCTGTGCCACCCGGGGGGTTCCTGGGGTCTGAGATGGCTGACGTTTTGGTGAGCAGAGGCAGTTCTCCGCTACCCTCCCGCGGCACGCCAAAACGGAGCTGTTTTGGGGCTGTTTTGCTCGGTTCGGTGAGCGGTCGCTTTGTAACGCTGCAGCTTGTTCGAACTTACATATTTACAAGCAAAATGACCCAAAACCAAGAGAAAACATGTTGTCAAGCAGCTGTACATGCAGGTGTGAGCGACGAACGGTTCGTTGAACGGAGTTGTTGCGGGTGCGCGACGACCGTTCGTGATAGTACGTTGTTGTTTATCTCTCTGATACACGTCCTTCTCTTCTCTTGTTCTTGCCTCTGCTTCTTTTTTCTTCTTCCTCCTTCTTCCTCCTTTGTTCCTCCACTGCCTTCCTCTCTAAAACTTCTTCTTCTTCCTCCTCTGGTACGCACCGGTCGTTTCCATTTTCGGATGGTTCAATCTAAATCTTTATAAAAACAAATAAACCTAAAATAAGTGCAACACACCCACGATTAGGGCTTGCACCCATTTCTCATGACATTGCTATCTTCGTTGTCGTCGTTGTCAATGATGCCATCGTTGGATGTCGCCCCCCGTAAGTACGCATTAGCACAAGGATGTATAAAATAAAGAAAAAAGCAAGGACCGTCAAATCACCTGAAACAGTACAAAATGGGTGACCATTTCCATTTTCGAGTGGTTCAGTCTAAATCTTTATAGAAACAAATAAAACTAAAATATAAGTGCGACACGTCCACGATTAGGGCTTGCACTCATTTCTCACGACGTTGCTATCTTCGTTGTCATCCTTGTCCGCCCATTGTTGTTTATCTCTCTAATACATGCCCTTCTCTTCTCCTCCTCCTCTTCTTGTCTTCGCTTCTTTTTTCCTCTTCTTCCTTCTTCCTTTTTTGTTCCTTCACTACCTTACCTTCCTCTCTAAAACATCTTCCTCCTCTGGACTAGCTAGTCCATTAATTTCATTTAGCCCAAACCTTATAAACCAATCTTAGTCTTCTCCACTTCTGATGTGGAACTAATCGGGGTATTACAATTTTACCCACTCAAGGGCTTGATGTCCTTGTCAAGGCCCAACATCGTCTAGATCAAATCCTAACATAGTACGAGCCCTCTCACCATATCTAAATACTAAGTTAGCTCTGATACTAAATGTCATGACCCGGGCCTGATAAACTAACTAGTCTATCAACTTCGTTTGACCCAAATCATTGGTCAATATGCTCAAACTGAAGTTGATAATAATACACTAATCAGGCCCTTATAAGGCAATCTTAATCTTGCCCACTTTCGATGTAAGACTAATTGGAGTGTTACAATGTCGGTCCAACTAGATCACCGAAACGATTCTGGTACTCAAAATGACGATTCTTGGAAAGAAGTACTTCAAGAGACTATGAGTACCTATTAATCTTTAAGGAAAGAGAATTTTTTATCACATGAGTAAGATATAAATGCAAAAAGAATATGTCATATAGTCTACGAAAATAATACATTGAGTGGCATAATTTAATTAGAGAAGAGATTAAACATATATTATTGAGGTAGTATAAAGCACACGATGATTATTATAGTGCAACAAGGATCGATGATAGAGGTCAACTTTTTCTTGCTCGGGCATGAGAAAGAAAGAGTAGAATTCTTTTAGGATTCTATGAAAGTTACAGATAAAAAGGTTACCTTTTAGTTAAAATTTTGAAAGGGGGAAAAGCATATACCACATCATGCTTTTGTCATGTTATAGAGAAAACCATGACTGGTCAAAGGTTACCAAAAATTAACTAAAAATCATATAAGAAATACTAAAAGTAGAATCATCCACTATATATGGCTTCCATCAATATGTCATTTGAGGGTCAACATATGCAATCTTACCCAACAAGGTAAAGTATTATTTCTTTTCACTTAAACTCTGGCTCAACCTAATGGCAGCAACCTCATAAAAGGTGTAAAAAGAACATTATGAATCGCAAAAGAATTACCACATGATAAGGTGTCGAATTTATAGTTGGCAGTTTGAATCATATTGTAAATTTCTATGAGGAACAATGTTTTCATAACATTGTTAAAAAGGGAGCTGCCAGATATGATTTCTTCTAAACTGTTTTCCAATATATTTTACATTTAGACAAAAAAAAGATATGTCTAATTACAGATTTGTAAAGAAATTACGAATCTTTAATACATAAAATAAGACAACTGGAGAAATACCCTACATCTCAAATAAGGAATGAAAACTTATGGGCATTGGGCCACATACAAATGCAAGTGAACAGCAATAACAAGTCTAACTTATCAACGGTTGATTAAAATGACACTATAATGTGCTTTGTAGAAGGTGGAATGTGTAATGCAAGAGAAGGAAAGAGTTAATCCGAAATTCTAAAATTATAGGAGAACATGTCAAGCAAGCCTTTTTTCTTTTTTTCTTTTGATGTCGGAGAACTTGAACTGCCTCCAACAGTAGTGACCGAAGTATCTGTATTCTCCACATCAGGTGTCTCCTCACATGTCTTTACACTCATCTGTGTGCTCCCTGAAGGAATTTAGAAAGCATGAATCAACAGATTGTGACAGCGGAACAGCAAAGAACAAACATAAAGGTACCTTTCAATTTTGTTCTCTCCTTTGCCTGTGCTTTGAGTTGAAAACGCTACTTGTGCAATTCCTACTACATGTGCTAATCAGAGAACAAAATTGAAGTATTGACGGAACTAAAAACATAGGGCTATCTTGAGATCCGCCTAGCAAGTAGATCCTTCCAATTTCACAGAAGTCTTCACGAGGAGATGTGATGAGATGGTTCTTGGCACGAATTAGAGAAATTAACACGACGCAAGGAGCAACAGAGTTAGGGAATACCCTGAGCTTGTCGAGCTGCACTTGGGGAGTGCACCGTCGAAACCAACGCGTCTCCGGCTTCGCTTCCTCGTCGCCGGCCATACCGCGGCCGGAAGTCGACGTGCCAAGACCTTTTTTTTTGGTCTTCTGAAAGAGAATTACAGATCATGCGTTCAGAAGATTATCCCAGCTACAAAAATCGGTGGCAACATCCCACCACTAAGAATATTAGCCAGCTTGTGGACAACAAAACTTGAAACCCTAAGAACATGAGATCATTTTAGTACCTTGGTCTCCTTCCAAAGAGCTATATAAATAAATTTCCGTCAAAATCTGGATAATGCATTGGGCAACACGACACACCCATATGTAACAGAAACTTCTGGTTTGGCTCTCTCCGACGCATCGCACATCACTCTTACTCGCGTCGGGTGTTTGGAGCAACTCTCCCCTTGTCTGCTTCGGGAGTAAATAATAAAGAAAAGGTTCATCGTTGTTAATGATAAAAGAAAACATTAATTAAGGCTTTAAATCTGGATGTTATGGGGAGGAAGTGATTGCGACGAAGGTTCTTGCCCCTGTTCTTCCAAATAAACTATAGCGAATTGTTCTTGAACAAAGGTAGCGTGGCAGTCGGTTAGGTCCACGGGCTGATGTCAGGATCTTCTCGTGGAGTGGGTAGGATGACAAGGTAATCGCGCCCTCCGAAAGGAATGTTGGTTGGTGTTGGTCAGGCAGACGGAGCCAACTGGGCCCTTGTGAGGGGATTTTAGTCAGCGTTCCTCGGTCTGCCGACCCGGGTGTCGTTTGTGATGGGTCGCGTCCCTCCGACTTCGGGGCGTATGGCAGCGTATCCTTATGCACTGGATGGTGATTCTCGGGTTGAGATGCTTGCCGCTCGGGGGTGACCGCCTTCCTGCAAAAATGGCCTTCGTCGGGTGCTCCCCAACTTTGGCCCCTCCGACGAGCAAATTAGTCAAGTGTTGCTTGTCTCAATCTTATTTTTCTCGCCCCCCCCCCCCCCCCCCTTTGCCCAGGTGTCGGCCAGGGGTTTTTATACTATCGCGCGAGGACCGGTTACGCCTCAGTTTGGTATGGTCGCTGACCTTTGTGGTATGGAACAGCTTCTCTGACGAGTTGATGTCTTTTGGGGATGCTTGAGCGGCGTCAGATGGCACTGCCCCGAGTTTTCGGGATGGTCATGTCGCATAGTGTATCGGTACGGAACCCAACGTGACATGCACCATGGGGTTCTGATGGCGTGTGGCATCGGTTGGGGTGTGGCGTGTGACGTTAATGATGACTCATCCGGGGACCAAAATATGCCTTATAACTTCTGCCCCCCCCCCCCCCCCCCCCCTCTTCGAGGCATGCCACTGGGTCCCTAATGGACCGGGAGGCATGCCTGGGGCCAAGGGACGTGATCGTGTTGGCCGCTTGCGCGGGAGAGCTGGATTGACTCGTCGGGGGGCGATTTAGAGGGGTGGTGCCCCGTGATTCGGGCAGGACCGCCCCTACTGATCGGGAGGCAATGGCCTGACGAGGCAAAACCGACGTGTCGAAACCAACGAGGCAAAAACGACGTGTCAAAACCGACATGGCGAAACCGTCAAGGCAAAAACAACGTGTCCAAACCGACGTGGCGAAATCAACGTGTCGTAGGTTGGATAACGGGTTTGGCACAGCTTGGAGTTACGGTTGCCGAGTTTGCAAGTCGGCGAGCGAGCCAAGGCGGCTCGGTTTAGAGTCTTGACGGGCAGCGAGTCGGGGGTCGATGTGGAGCGACTTGGATTAATGGACTAGGGCGGTGATTCGGGCGCTGGATCAACCGAGATGTGACTTGGGCATAAGATTGGCCGCGAGGTGTGGCTCAGGCATTGGATCAACTGAGATGTGTGGTTCGAGCGATTGGATGGCCGATGTGTGTGGCTCGGATGTTGGATTTGGCCGAGATGCAACTCGGGTGTTGGATTGGCTGAGATGCGTGGCTCGGATGTTGGATTGGGCCTGTGGGCCAAGTGACCGAGCTCGGGTTTTGATGCCGGCGGGTCGCAAGTCGGGAGTGATCTGGAGCGACCCGGGCAGGAAATGAACTTGGGGATCGAGTGACTAAGCTCGGCTCCAATTTGAACCTAGGGACCGAGTGAGTAAGCTCGGCTCTGAATTGAACTTGGGGACCGAGTGACTCATCTCGGCTCCGATTTGATCCCAGGGACCAAGTGAGTAAGCTCGGCTCCGAATTGAACCTGGGGACTGAGTGAGTAAACTCGGCTCCGGATTGAACCT